ACACAGTTGGCTGCTACATATTCTACACATGTACAAAATACATCCATCACTCATTGCATTCTTTGAAAACAATATGCAGCACTGGAGAACAACACTACATCTCAGGGTTAGTAACACTTCCATACAAACAAACAAAATATTCATTAGGCGAGGAATTTTTCAAGGAGATTCCTTGAGTCCTCTTTGGTTCTGCCTAGCCCTGAATCCATTATCCAACATGTTAAACAACACACAATACGGCTACAATATCAGACATGAAAAAACAACACAGTTTACGCTGTCGCATCTCATGTACATGGACGACATAAAACTTTATGCATCCACACAGAAACAACTTCATCAACTCCTACAAATTACACACTCATACACTAAGGACATACAAATCTAGTTTGGCTTAGACAAATGCAAAACACTTCACATAAAAAAGGAATCCTGAAGAAAGAAGATTTTGCACTTGGAAATGGAGACATTATTGAATCCATGGAAGAGGGCGAGTTCTACAAGTACTTAGGATTCCNACTCACAATGTACAAAACACATGCACTGAAAAAATTAGCAAGTACACAGAACTCGCCCAGGAAATAAGGCATCTGTGGAGGATGGATAGGGTGCTTATTATACCTGTTGTTCTCTCCTGTACAGGTGTGATACCACACACACTACACAAAAGCCTGGGAACATTAGAATTGAGTAGAAATACATACATCACACTACAGAAGGCCACTATATTGAATATATGCCACATTGTTAGGAAATTCCTGAATACAGACACACACACTGACACACTTATTTAATTTTAGTTTTGTTTTGGTTGCTATGCCTTGACTCTGGTCCGGCATAGTACACAGCCACCGGTGTGAACCGAGTATAACTCACAAAACACAATAATAATAATAATAAGCGCAGGGCCCAAACGGTTAGGAGTTGAAAGTTGAAATTTGGTACACAGTTAGGGTACATCACGAAAACGCACACTAAGAAGGGATTTTTCGAAATTCCTCCCCATGAGGGAGAGGGACAGGATTAAGGTTTAACACTTCCATTGTTGATGGAAGTGTTAAGTAACAATGGAAGTGTCAACAATGGAATTGTTAAGAGAAAGCAATGTGCAAGACGCAGATGCAGTTTTTTCGTTTTTGCGGGAAATCGAACATATTTTTAGACCCGTCTAAAAATTCTCTAATCAGTCTGGAAACAGGGGGACCCAATTCTTGCATTCTGTGAAAACAGTAAGGTTGACTATAATGTAATAATGTTAATCTTCCCTATCGTTACTTTTGCCCGAGCAACGCCGGGCCTACCTGCTAGTTTTTTAATATTTGAAGACAAGTTTGCCCAAATAAGGATCACCATTTTTTTTCCTTTTGCGTTCTAGACAGTACATTTCTGGCGACCGACCTTCCTTTCTAGGCTACTAGCCGCCAAAAAGTTTTAAAAAAGTTCTTTTAAAAAACACAAAAAGATTTCCAATTAAAAACACAAAGATTTTCTAGAATCAGAACTAGTGTTATACGAACGTCTTTCTTGTTTGTTACCATCTGTACTTTCTCGGGGGTGTTTCGTCCTTTTATCCACAGAAGAGAGTGCTGGAAAATGTAGATTGAAAAGGTTCCCCCCTGGTGACGATATTTTTCCGTCATAATTCGTAATTTTTTCGTCTGATGGTTCTTTCTATTTTTTAATATTTGAAGACAAGTTCGCCCAAATAGGGATTATGTTATGGAACAACTAATCAAAATTATTTTCATTATTGGTGTAAGGAAAAATAGACAATAGAGAGAAATCTTGTGTGACTATTTTGACTAACACACAATTTCACAGCATAAAAGAAAATGATCACATCAAATCATACAAGTAACAGATGGGTTACACTGATACTTTAGTTTCACAGATATTATCTGCTTGCAACTGAAGGATGACTATTTTAGTCAGTCCCTGAGTCTTTAGACTTTATAACTAAATGATATTTACAAAATCAATTATCAGTTATATTTTTTCAGTTTTTTTGAAACTACAGGTATTTTTAAGTTGAAAGAATAATTTAAGAATTTATTTTTATTAACTTTTTAGCATGGCAATTTTGAATTGACACAATGGTTAATTCAGCATACATCAGGAGTGACTCAAGTTGCACCTCCAGAAGGGACTAGGTCTTTATTACATTATGCTGCCAAATATGGAAGAGTAAGCATATATTATTTTAGTAAGAAATATATAACTTCTAATATGATTTAATATTTTATGAATTTAATTTAATTTTTAAAAAGTGCTTAATAATTTGAATAAAGATCAATATTTTTATTTTTCATATATATTATTCAGAGATATAAATTTGACTAGACTGTAGAATTTACTATTCAACACTGTCTAGAGAGCGATGTAGCAGTCCAAATTTAACCAAATTTTGTATGCTAATGTTCAGAGCATGCAGAAGAGATTTGTGGAAAAAAATTTAATTTCAAAACTCACTACTGTGGCACTTGTAGCACTACAAGTTGCTAAAAACACTTATCATATGCATATTATATGTACAGTACATATGCTTGAGTAGTTTCTGGGTATAAAACTGAGTCATGATAATGTCAGGTTGGTTAAGTGCACACTCAGTTCTAGAATTTAAGTTTTAGCCAGTGAGGCATAATAAAGATTATGTGATTTTAAAAATCAATTGTTGGAGTAACTTATCTAGTTCTCTATAACAACAGGTCATGAATATCAGAGGTCTCAAGTGAGAGTTATTTGTTGAATATGTTGTTTAAAAATAATGCTAAAAAATAAAGCAACTCTGGTCATAATTTTGGTTTGTTCATTGCCACTTTGGCTTGTGTGACTTTGGGAAAGCTGAAAGCAGTGTGCTCTGTTTTAAATGATATAATGTAATTGTTATTGAATTCATGAGGCCATGGCATACTTAATATTACTATTAATTGATATTTTGTATTAATTGCATTCATTGACATTGAAATTCCTGTCCTCATCCATGGGACCACGAATCTACTTTACATAAACCAATAACTTAATAATTGATTTGATTGTATTTCAAATGTAATGAGAAAAGGTTGGGATAAGATAAATAAATATTAACTTTTTATAATGGTATATTGTTACTAAACATTTTTTAAATTTATTATTTTTATTTTTAATTGTATTATTTTTTAATACTGATTTTATTATCCATATAAAATAAAATCAGTATAATTAAACTATACTAAAATTTCATAACAGTATTGCTATTAAATCATATTGTGAGATAAGCAGGGGGCCATGGGGATGATCCCTAATGACCACTTAATCTGCACGGGTTGGTAAAACCCGATCTCGCGGTCGTTGGATGGTTAGGAGGGCAAATCGAGTGGGGAGTACGTCAGTAAATTGGTAAGCGTCCTTTCAATGATAGATGACAGGTTAAACAAAATAGCAAAGCATTTATTGAATAATTAAGCTAGGTTACATGAGGTGATAATAATATTAAATTTAAATGCGGTTAAATAGGAATTCACTATACAAGGGCCGCTCTTAACCGTTCTAATGGCTATTCTGAGAGAGAGAGTTCACAAAGCTCTAAAATACAAATACCTCTATGAGGATATGACTAATATGCGTTCATTGAATGGGCCATAGGAATCGTAGTCAGCACAGGAACTGTAGTATGGCTATGGAAGTTCGAAGTTGTGGTCAGGCTTTCAGTTGCTGTGTTTTATGTATGGAGACAAAATGCACACATTAACAAGTATAACTTCCTTTGGATCGCCCTGTGCTTCTGGGGGCTTGAGCTTTTATACAGTCTTCGTGGGAAAGGAGTCACATGATCTACTTCTGTTGACACTAACGGTGCATTCCGATCAATCAAGTGTCAACTTTCCCACCTAATTGAGAAAACAAACGGTGACCTCCAATATAATTCTCACCAAGAATGGGTTTTTTCCATTGGAGTTGTTTACAAAATTTTTTTTGACAACTGTGTAAAAATTGCAGATCTCACAATATTGTAAATAATTGTAGGATTTAATGACTTATTTATAAAACAATTTATTTTGGAAACTTATATATTATATAACATTTTAAGGAAAAATTATGCTATTGGTTATCTGACTATATGGAAGAAAATAATATTGACATTAATAGACGAGATTCTGGTGGAAACTCATCTTTACATCTTGCAGCAAAGTATGGTCATATAGAATGTGTAAAAGTAAGTAATTTATATATTCATAAATTTATTAATGAGTGTAATTTGTTGTTATTCCTTTGTTAATATGTTTTATTTGTAATTTTCTGTAAGGTTGTCCTATTCGAATCCTAAATATTTATAGACCTCTCCTCATCTATGGATTTTATGTTGTTGTTACTTCCAAATGCAATTTCATCTTTCTACAGGATTCCATTTTCTATATGAAATGATTTACACTTGTCTGTACCAAACTTTTGGTATTAAGATTTGATAGTAAACAGAAATTAATGAAAATTCAGAGATACTTTTGATAAATTAAATTTCATTTGGTGAATAAAAACGGAATAATTGAAAAATTCTTATACATTACAGATGTAGAATGAAATTTAAAATTTTAGAAATTTGTTTTTACAAGTTTGGAATCTGGATACACTCCAGTCATAAATTTTGAAGGATTTAAATTTTAAAAGTGATAAATTATATAACTCATATGAAATTACAGAAAAAATAAGTTATTTAAAATATTAAAAAGCCTTTCACAAATACTTTTCAATATTACTAGCGTCATACAATTTTAACAATAAAAATATTTCTTGATTTGTTAAGTCTAATGAGTTTACAGGAATGATTATACATAAAAAATTAATAAAAATAAACAAAATATAATAAAAATTGGCATGCAGTATTTATTAAATAATTTTAATTTGTTTTTGATCAGAGCAATCCAATGACTAGGAATAGAAAATGTGAATTGGTAACAATTGTCATTGTTAAATATGTGTATCATTTCTCATAAAAAAAATTAAATCAGAGTTTGTACAGGGATGTTGCAAATACTTATTTATCTAAAATGAGTCTCTAAATCATTCCGCAGAATTATCAAAATTGGTTCTAATTTGTTATTTTATTTAATGTCATTCTGATATTGTAGCAAATGTTTTAGTGGTAGCAGCTACATAACATTCATAAGTATTTGTGATTGCATTATAGACAGATATGTAATATATCCTTGACTTCTGAAGTCATCTTAGTGTTTAATTAATTAATCTGTCGTTAGAAATTATTCATGACCAGAATATCCAGACTCCAAACTTGAAAATACAAAATTTTAAAAGATGTTAATTCAGAAATTTAAAAATCTAATTTGTAAGAATTTTTCAAACAAGTGTTCTTTTTATTTGCCTGAGGAAAATAATTTATTGAAAATACTTGTGAATTTAATAGTATACAAAACATAACTGGAAGCACAAGCTGTAAGAAAAAATATATAGTAAGATTTGATTAAAAAAAAAGTTTTATTATGTATTTCTGTTTACTGTTAAATTTTTATAACTAAAGACAATATTATTAGAGTCAAGGCAGTGAGTCTGTGCAAAGTAAAAAAGTCACTGACTGACTATATATATACAGTAGAGCGTCGATTTTCCGAATTAATTGGGGACTGGGGTTGTTCGTATAACTGATATTTTGGATAATCGATTTATGTACGAAAAAATAGTTTAACGTATCCGATGTTGAAATTTTTCTCCGTTGCGTGTTGCTTCGCGTTGAATTTTCGTCGATGTTAAGCCTAACAAAGACTATTGTATCGTTAAAAATTATTTTTTTATTTTGAACAAACAAAATAAATATATTGAAAAATATAAAAACAATAAAAAAATATACTTCAGATGTTAATTTAGTATCAAAAACGTAAAATATTTGAGTAGCCCAAGACATAGCCAAAGATTGAAGCGCCACAGCACTGGCGTAAATTTAAATTTGTCGACTGGAATTCTTTCAGATGATTGACTTTCGGAAAATCGACGCTCTACTGTATATACAAGAATTAGAGTTACAGATTTTTGAGAGTTGATTTCTCCACCCAAATGTGTTAAAGTAATTTTGAATATTACCTTTGATAATTGTTTTCTTAAGTAGTGTACAGAATTTCAGATTTTTTTATAAAGGAGTTGCCAAAATAATATAAGCATATAAACATTCCAAGAACCGATGTATTAATACATTGGGTTCTTGGAATGAAATGTTTATATATGTATATACAGTGGTACCTCAGGTTACGAACGCCCCAGCATACGAAATTTTCAGGATAAGACATGAAATTCAAACATATTTTTGCTCCACGATATGAACAAAAACTCACCATACGACATTACATTAGTTCGCAATTTTCATTTGTTTTTCTTACTACAGTTATTTTTTTTAATGTATTACTTGGCTTTAATTTGAGTATGTTTTTCGCGTTGGAACGAATTATTTGGTTTTACATGTAATCGTATGGGAAAAGATGATCCACCTTACGACATTTTCATGATACGATCTCAGTTTCGGAACGGATTAANTTTTCGCGTTGGAACGAATTATTTGGTTTTACGTGTAATCGTATGGGGAAAAATGATTCACCTTACGACATTTTCATGATACGATCTCAGTTTCGGAACGGATTAATTTCGTATCCTGAGGTACCACTGTACAGTACACACACACACACACACCATGCTGGGTAATGAAACATTTGTCTGAGCACCATGTTGGTGTTGGCCAGTGGCCATTGAATATGTCCCTAGGTGGTGCCATGGGTAACTGTTGGATGGTTATATCTAAAACTTAAATGTGTCTGGAAGGGAGGGTCTTATTAAAATCATACATACATCATTATAGTTTTTAAGGAAAAATAAAAAAAAACCACAGTATAAAAATAATTTATCTGTTTTTTCATATTATGCAAAGATTTTTCTCTTTTATTATGCATTTATTATTATGTTTCATTACATATGTTGTACAAAAGACCTCTATGCATGATAAATAGATTGTCTTTTCACATTTTTTGCATTTGAATTTTGCTACTAGGTTTTTAATTAGTAATACATTGCAGCAGACATAAGAGAAATAGATTGCTACATATTTTAAAGGTTTTTAATATGTTAGGAATTAAAGCCATCATCAAGAATGAAAAAAAATGAAGATACTGAAAAGTAGATATGATTACAATTTTCTGTTAAGAAATGGCAATTCAAAATATGCATGACATGGTAAATTGACCAAATGTGACAGACAGGAAGTTAATTTCTGTTGTTCTAATATTTTAATATAAATTTTATTTCTTTAAAAATGTATGTTTTAAATTTTTGTAATCTTTTATCATGATCTCTGATTTTCAGTTTTTATATTAATATAATATCAATGAGGTCCATATTTGTACTGTGACTTCATTGATAGATACTACATTGAGATAAAAACTCTTAATTGGATGTGGTTCATTGTTTAAAAATTTAAAGAAGCTGTGTTTGAAAGATAGTTTTAAATAACAGAAAATAAAAGTTTGCTATTCTCTGTAAATTGAGCATTTGGAGATATGCTTAATGATCTGCAGCTTGTTTCATTATGTCAATTTGAAAATGATAGTGTTAGCGATGTGTGTTACTTCTGCATTTAAAGCTGTATATGTTAGGAAGCCCAAGTGGATATATAAAGTACAAAATGCTAATCACTGTTGTGAGCTTAAAGATTGTAACTTTTTGGGACATCTTTCTCCTCCTAATTTTATTGGGAATTGCTGCAATTCAGTCCTGTGTATACACCACCCTCTCCCAATTTGATGTCTGAATGTATACCACTGATATTGAGAGTTTTACTTTAATTTGAATGATGACCACGAAGAATATTTTCATTGAAAGACTTCTCTGAATTTTCTGAGGTGTACCTAAACTTAATGTTATAGCTTTTTGGAGATGTGCTTGGAATAACAGAAACTGGAGTTGTGGTATTGAAGGTAGATAAGACCAAAACAGTTGTATTCATGAAAACATATTGTCAAGAGAAACACCAAATGCGATGAGACTTTTTGAATGCTATCCAATACAGAGTGGTTAAATTCTCTCCATTGGTCATTACGTATACCTTAAATATACAATACTATAACTGAGTATTTCAAAATTGTTTGTGTTCACTAAGACACACAAAGTGGGTTAGGCCATATAAGAGTTATCATCAAATAACTACTATAGTTAATGACTTAGATGCTGAGTATCAAGTGATATATTTTAGGAAATAAGATAATTAACAAATTCCATGGATATTGATTGGGTTTTTATATAGAATTTTTCTTGTGTGTGTCACATACCTATTTCAGTGTTTTCAACATATGTTTTAAACATAAAGCACATACTTTTTAGTACTTGTAAATATGAGTTATACTATTTTCTCAACTTTTTTCTTCTACATTAATAAAAACATCTCTCTAAATCTGTACAAGTATTGTTATGTTCCATTTTAGATAGATTGTATTGTATTTAAAGTAATAAAATCAGTAAATAACTCATTATAATTTAATATTAATATTATATTTAATTTAGTAACCTAATAACTAATATTATATATATTATAAATATAACTGAAAATTTAATTTTATATTGATAGTGCCTAATATTACATGGAGGTGATTTATTGGCAAAAAATGAACTTGGTTTTAAACCATACAACTTGGCAATGTGCAATGGACAAGAAATTTGTGCAGATTACCTTGTAGCAATGGAAACCTGTTTTGTATTAGCAGCTGAGCATTTATTTTTAGAAGGAGACATTCAACAGTAAGTTTATTATTATTTTCTTTGCATATAAAAAATGAAATATGTTTTTTAAAAGCAACAAATATTATAGACTCAAAATGAAGAAAAATTCAGATATTTTATGTTAACTAAACAATAATTCAAATATTTTTTATAGTCCAAAATGCCATCTTTAAGAACAACAATAAATGAACTAGAATATGGGAATTGGAACATATTTAAAATGTAAAAGTTTAATTTAGTTCATTTGTTGTTGTTCTTGAAGATGATATTTTCACATACAGTATATAGCAGAGCATCGATTATCCGACTCAATTGGGGAGTGGGGTTGGTCGGATAACTGAAAAAACAGATAACTGAAAAAATATGAAAAAATACATTACAGTAGATCCCCCTATAAGACAGTAGATACGTTCCGTTCTTTATGAATCCGATTTTGTAGGAATCACAGCCTGACACGTGTGAAGTTTACTGACTACGACTGTTTGAAAGGTTTTCTTCCATAAAATTAATAGATTCTGGACTAATCCGACTCAACATTTCCAAAATAATATATATTTTTTGGAAATAATCCGTATAAACTACGCTATAAATAAAAAATTGTAGGATTACTTACCGAGTGTGCACCATTTGACATCGCTGTTGCTCAAGCTTGTTTTTGTCGCGGAACAGCTCAGCAAACCGCGGCCGCGATTTCTGATGTTATTTTTCTGTGAAAACTTTGCTGAACTTTGGAGACATCATTAATATAAATAATTTTTATTGCCGTTGAATAAGAAATGTTTCTTTCACAAGAAATGTATAAAATTACAGTACTGTATTAGATTTACGGTACCTAATTTACATACTGTACAGACGATAGTTCGCCTAAACTCTCCGTAGCGTGGCGCTAGACGGCGGAAAGTATATATATAATTATAATAAAGTTACAATAAATTAAGTTAATATATAATTATATATACAGTACCTAATTTATATATAATTAATATATAATTATATGTACAGTACCTAATTTATATATAATTATATGTACAGTCGAAACTAAACTCAATTTACCCGCCTAAACTGTCCGTAGCGTGGCGCTGGACAGTGGGAAAATAGTTCGGCTGCCCGATGACGTTTTACGTAATTATAGGAGTTTTTTTACCGTTGTGTACGGATACCGCCACAATTTTTTCGCCGTATTATAGGAATCGTAATTATAGGAACCAGTCTTATAGGGGGATTTACTGTATTAGTATAGTATATTAATATATCTCATGTAATTAATATATTAGTATATCGCTATTAACCTACTTCGCATTGAATTTTCATCGATGTTAAGCCTAGCAAAAATTTTTTAAAAATAATAATCATCGCTATTGTATCATTAAAAATTAGAAAATTAAGCCTTGTTTAAATACTGGCTCCCTTTCATGGTTGAGTCATGTTGCCAGCTAAAACACATAAAAATACTATTAAAGTAGCCAAGACATAGCCAAATATTGTAGTGCCACATCACTAGCGGACATTTGAATTTGCCGGCTAGAATGGTCAGTTAACCGATGTGACGGTTAATCGGCGGTCGGATAATCGATGCTCTACTGTACTCCTGATTATTCAGGTTAATCACAGTTAACAGAGAAACAGATAATGCAGAAACATGGATAATCCACAAGTTTGTTTTAATGAAAGCTAATTAATTGATTTTTTAAAATTAATAAGTTTAGAGTTGAATAAACTTTTGATGTAAACAGAAAATTCAGAAATAGCACCTCACATTTCACTATGAATTTCTTGTATTAGTAACTGAAAATGAAAGTTGTCAGCTAGATATCATCATAAAATGTCATTAATTTTGCAATTTAATGATTTATTGATAAGAAAATGATTCAAAATGTTTTCTTTAAAAAACTTATTTAATGTAAAAAAAATACAGTATACACATACAAATAAGTAACGCCATATTATTCAAGACTCAACTGCACTTACCGTACTTGTTATACCATTTAATTTATGCATAGATAATCCACAAATAGGATAATCTGCACACAGATAGTCAACAATATACAGTATTGGAAAATGTTTGAATTATTAAAAATATTGTTTATTTAACACCAAAAAAAAGGATTTTTTAATTTTTATTTTGAGTTAATATTTTATAGTATACACCTTTCCTGTCCTATAAGTAGCCTACTGTATATGATGATATTTGAGTTATTAAAATATAGCTTGTATTCTATTTATAGTCTGTTAATAATTTAGAATTTGTAAATATTGGCTAAATATCAAATAGTAAATATTCATATCAAGTGTGAATAATTGTGTAATTGTTTGAAAGAATGATAAGACAGATGAGTTTGTTTCCTTGACAAACTTATCTGTTTAAATCTATTAAGTTGAATCAGTTTATTCAGTTAAAGGGGTGGAGAATAATTGAGGGAGATTGGAAGTATTTTTTGAAACAGTGAAATGAATTCAAATGTTTTAGTTTTCAAATCATAAAATTGTAATTTAATAAATAATTACTCACTTTTGAATGCAGATGTCACTCTTAGAAAATTTTAAATATAAATTTTAAAAAGACAATCCATATAAAATGCTGACAAAATACATTAAAACTTTCATTGTGTGAATTTTTCTTTGACTACTCAGCCATTTCAATAATAGTGTAAAAACATTGACACAATTATCGAAATCCTGCACTCAACAAATGAGTTGAATAGAGGATAGAAAAGAGACTTTTATTTGTTATACACAGGACTTTCAGCATTTTGGAACGATTATTGAAATGACTGAGTAGCCTAAAAGAGAAAGTCAATATAATAAAAGTTTTAATGTTTTATATTTTGGGCAGTGCCAACATTTGATATGAATTGTCTTTTTTTTTTAAATTTATAAATTATACCAGATAAGTGTCACACAGTGACATTTATTTTTTTATAGTAAAATTACTTTTACATATGTCAAAGAATTTTTTGATAGCTAAAAGTTCTCATTGTTTCCAAGAACTTGTTCCAGATATTCAAATACTCTTCAGATATGATCCTTATGAGCTCATATGATAGCAAATGACAGCTTGAGTACCAAAAACTAGTGCTATGCTTTGCCATTGGTATTACAATAATAAGAAGACCAATTTATTCTGTGATCTGATTACTTGAGGAATTTTAATTCTATAATTAATTGTTAACATCAGTTTATGTAATTAAAAATGTGTGTGATTTCTATTGGCTAGAGAATTTACATAGAGACTGATGCCATTTCATTCGGTAATGGTTTATAAATAAGATCAGAAATGATCTTCAGGTGTGGGAAAAGTATCTGCCTCTCATGCCTGATTAATGGCCAGATCCATAGAACATCTTTATAAATCTTCATCCTTTCCAGATTTTTTAAGTGTGAGCAGTTGGAGGTTAGAACATCTGGAAAGGATGGATACTTATAAAGCTGCTTCTATAGATCTGGCCATTAATTACTGGGAGATGGATATCTTCTCCCATGCCTGGAGATTGCTATATGAAGATCATTTTTGACCCTATTTATAAGCCATTACTGAGCAAGATAACATCAGTCACAATATAAATACTCTATCCAATAGAAATTGGACATGTTTGTTTTAAATGACATTAGTTGAATCTTATGCTTTTGTATTCTTTAACCTAAAGATGGCAATTTAAAATTGTTGAAAACATCTATCTTATTAAATGTTACATTTTTGCTGGATTTTCTGATGTTTACAAAGAGATATCTTTTGCAGTAATGTAGGGTTATTGCTTTTGACTCCATTATCAACAGTTAAGTGATTTCTAATTTAAAATTTAAATTACAAGCAAATGAACTTCATTGACAATTTGAAATTTCAGAGTTTGTAGTATTGGGCTGTTAGATTAGTTTTATATTCCTACAACTCTTTTAATCCATGAACACAAGCAGTTATTTATTTATACAATTGTATGTATAAGGCAGCAATTTTTCTGCTGGTTTTTCACATATGATTATGCTGCACATAATTGCTGTTTCTCAAATTTGATGCTTCTGAAAAGTTCCTGTGATGTGTCTTCTCTGCACATGCTAAATTTTAATGTCTTAAGTCAGCGGTTTTCAATCTTTTTTCATTAGCGTATTCCATTGCATTTCCAACTTCCCAACGACAACGCATGCGCAAATCTCTCACTGCCTGTTTGTAGAGAGTGTCGCCATTTTGAATTTTATTTTGACTCGGTTCTTGGTTCCCCGAGTACCTACAAGTCTGGTCTTTTTTTATGCATGCATGATTTGGGCACCTAATACTTTGTGCCAAATTGCAACTTTTGACATGTACTCCTTCGTATCTCTAAGCTGGTAACACAGCAGGCAGTATGATTTTATAAACAAGACGTAGTCTTGTCAATAAAAAGTTAATAAAAATACTGAATAAATAATGAAACAAATTATCACTTGTAGAGAAAATCTGGAGAAACTAGCTATATCCTTTTCTTTGCTAACATAAATAAAAAATACTTTTTTCAAACAACACGTGGGGATATTGTTGAGAGTTAATAATAATAATGGTAACACATCCCACCATCAAAAGTCTGTAGCATAATCACTAATCATACATAATGGTATCCCCACTATCATTGACCGACTGTTCAACATTTATTGATCTGTTGCATTGTACAATTGGCAGCATAAGTTTTTATTTCTATTTTTGCATTTTGAAATGTATAATAAAGTTTGTGATTGTTGCAAGGAACATTTTTTACCTAATAATTTTTTAATACTATTAATTTGGGATACATTATATATTATTTTTTCTGTCATAATAACTTTTTTCTGTACCCCTAAACAACCTATCGCATACCCCAGGTTGGGAATCGCTGTCTTAAGTTATTCAGTTCATGAGTTTAGTTTAGTTATTGTTTTGTTTACAGGCTAGTGTTCTTGATTCAAGCTCCCATAGAGAACATTTTAAACTTTGTGATAGTGTGGGCTAGTGTGAAACAAGTTCAGCTGGAAATAAATGATTGGAGAGCTGAGGTATTTCTCAGAAGGACCAGAAAATGATTTTTTATATTTTCAGGTATGAAATAAAGCCAAGAAAACATTTAAATAGTTGAAGATCATATCATCCCAGGCTATCTTATGGAGGTTTAGTGTTGTAGAGACTTGCAGACCACCATGTCATTACATTACACATGGTTGAAAAACCTTCATGACATCATGCTTACCATGGTATATATACAAATATATATACACAGTTATTTGATATTTAATTATTAAATAATAACATTATTATAACCTGATGTAATCTGGCAATTGTTTAGCGTCAATCATTTATTCTGGCAATCATGAGAAATCTCCCTGACATCAAAGAAGATTGCTGCCTTATTCATGTGATTGTGTGACAATAAAGAAAAATGGTATATGGTTGGTTACACATTTAGGTTGCAGTTTACTTGGTGGTTTTTGATAGTTTGTGATAAGCAGAAAAAATTTTTTGACCAGAATTTTTACAGGGATGATTAGCATGCAGATCAAGGGTATCACAGCTAAGTAAGTCAATTTGGTGAAAATGCCATTGTGGTAGGTGTGGAAAATTGCCACTATCACATGTGATTATAAGTTAAACTTCCTACACTGAAAAACTGTATAATTGCTTGTAATTGTTTTACTGTTCCTACAGTGAAGAACAATACCCATTCCCTTATGACCAATTACATTTTTTATTGTTGAAGGGTACTTTATGAAAGACAGCAATCATAAATTGGAGGATAAGAAACATAAACATATCCAGTTTATTGAAAGAATTTTGTTTCAACCTGGTAAAAAGCAAAAATCAAGAAAACGTATAAGTGAATTTTTGTATGTTATTGGAACTGATAAATTAAACATATCAAAGGAAAAAATAAGTGAAAAATGAATAAATGAAACAAAACATTAGGTTGTATAAGGCTTTGCCAGGACTGTCAAATAAAATGTCTAACCCAGATTTTACTGTGTGTTTAAATTATAAAAAGCAGTCATGTTCAAAATTGCAAAACTTTAAATAATTGCTATGTATTAATTTTATTGTAATATTTAGTAAAATTCTATTATTTAACATTTTCCTTCAAAAAAGAAATAATAAGTGTTTTGAATACTTTGTTAGCATTTTGCACTTACATATCTGTGATCATTTGATACATCTATTCTAACAAATAGATTCACAGTTATGGAATTCAATAGATTCATATTGTAATTGCTATAATTTAAGCTATAATAACTATTACCAATTATTTCATCTGATGTTATTGTGAAAATATAATTCTGTGATTTCTCCAAAACAACATAATTTTTCGATAGTAGTCTATGTGCATATTCAAAATCTCGGCATCAATCCAGTGGGATGCTGCCATGGGTGATGCAAATGTTGGCATTTTTATGAAAATACAAATGTTGACTACTAGTATACCAGGAAAGAAAAACAATAAAAATGGCAAATGGTGTGGACTTTATGTTTGAACTTACTTAATGAGAACTGCTTAATGCAAAATGAATATTTCAAAAAGAGAAAAGGATGAAGATTTTTAAAATTTCTGTAGGAGTTTTACATAGCAAAATCAATCCTAATATTGCACTTTAGCAACTAAAAAAATTGTGGTGTGTTGGTAAATATACTGGTATATTAAAATATTCTATTAATATACTAATCTGATATTAATTTATTCAGGGTACATTCAACGACAGATAAATTCAAAATGATCAATATAAAATAGAGTTCTTGTAAGCCTTATATTATCATCTACCATATTATTTGCTGATGTGTTGAGCACTGAAAAAGATGCTTGCAGTTTGCTGCAAGAAGTTGCCTGAGCATTTGAACAGAGGTACTGACAGATGCTGATAACACACTGAGAATTTGAATATAACTTATGATTCTTTTATTTGGATATAAGTATTTTTGGTCATCTCAAAACTTATATCATTTTAATTCTATTTTTAAAAATTTCTCAAAATAATAGATCAATTTATAAAGTCAATACAGATTGATTACCAATTTTCCAGCACATGATGGTTTGGAACCTCTTTTAATGTGGATGTAATTATAAGAGGGCACTTAAAATTCCTGAAATCAGAATAATTCACGGAATAGCCACAAGTGACCTTCAGTTCATTTATCTTAGAGCCCTAGCTTGAGTTAAATACTTTAAGGTCTCGTTTTATGCGGTGGATACGTTCTACAGAAAAGCGTATATAAAAAATTCGCATAAAAAAAGACTTTACTTGCCTTGAAAAAGTAGGGATACGTTCCGTAATTTTCTAAAATCGCATAAAACCAAAACAACGAGTTAAAATTAACTTAAAACCGCATAAAAAAGTTTGCAGAAATTAAAAGAAATAGGCTGCTTAATAAATTACAGTGGTGCCTCGTATAACGTACGCCTCGAATAACAGACGCTGCGAACAACGGACTTTCTGTTTGGCCGTTACGTGACTCGAGCAACGGACTTTCTGTTTGGCCGTTACGTGACTCGAGCAACGGACTTTCTGTTTGGCCGTTACGTGACTCGAGCAACGGACTGGTTGCGAACAATGGACTTTCCGTTCGGCAGTTACATGAGGCGAACAAGTGTGAATGATGTTTCCACTTTTTTGCTGTTGCCAATGACAATCTGCTATTTTTATAATATACAGTATTAGTATAATTAAAATATAGCCTATTATTAGTATATTTGAAGTACAGAGCTTCCGTTGGGATTCGGCTTGCTCCCTTGTTTATTACGTACATCACCTCAGTGCAGGATATTTACATTTATTCAAGTGTTGTGCAAATCATGGCTTCTAAAAAAACAGAAAGGTGATTTCAATTGAAACAAAGCAAGACATCATTAGAAGGAGTGAAAGTTGACAAAAACTTCCTTGTCAAATGGGGAGAGGTTCAGAAGTTTACCAACACTCATTATACAAACAGAGCTGAGGCCAACAAAAATGATCTCTACAATGACACCCTTGCCCGTCATTTCCAACAGGTGTTGAAGAAGAGAGAAACAGACCACCTTGGACATATTTTTCAAGAAGCAAGCTGCCAAAAAACAAAGGATGGAACAAGAGGAGTTGACCCCGCAAGCTCCGGTAGCCTCTCCTAAATCTGACTCTGATTAAAAAACAATAAAGAGACCTGCTGCAATATGTAAAAAGTCTGTATCTGTATGAATGTGTGAAAAAAGTGTTCCTCCACCTCCTCACAACATCTGACTACCCGGCATAATTGGTGACTGCTCCATTTTCATTTTTTTATGGTATGGTTATTTTTATGCTGTGGAACGAATTATATGTTTTAACATGTATTTTTATGGGAAAATGCGTTTCGTATAACGGACGTGCACCTGGAACGGATTAAGTATGTTATACGAGGCACCACTGTACTTCGAATGTCTGAAAGAAATTCATATAAAATTTAATTTCAAAACAATTACAGTTTATACCTTTCAATGCGAAACTCAGAATGATGTAATAGCGACTTGTCGATGGTATCATGTACAAGGGGAATCCCCGAATTGCAAAAGCTCACTCTAAAAACAAATCACTGACATCTGGATGTAAAGAGTTAATTATTATTTACCCCTTTAGTTCCTCGCCCAAGTTAACTTGGGCAGGTTACATAGCGTTACATAAAACAAGGTCCTTAAGGCCATTTTTGAAATTTTTTTTGAATTTTTGGAATGTTTTTTAAGTCTCCAAATTTTTTTAAAATATTTTAAAATATACGGCCAGCTATTGTTCACTCTAAACCCTTGTCCTCCCGCGACATGTATGAGAATGCCCTGGGAAATCCAACTCCAGCTATGTTCAAGGTCATCCAGATGTGTAAACAATGACTCATCAGTGTTAAATTTCACAGAAGGATGAGACAAAGGAAGTTAAACTTTGAAGCTTTTTCTTCAAAATTAAGGCATTTCTTTCGTTTTTTCAGTTTTAAGTATTTTTTATGTTTAATTACATTTATATCAAAAATTGCTAAGAACTAAAGCGATTAAGGTAGATCTAGCTGTCCTTTACATCCATATTGGTTATATGTCAGTGGAACAAGTGGAGTGAGCTTAGAGCGTTCCACGATTTTTGGAGACTGTCTATACGCGGGCGTCCTAAAAAAGCCTATATGTATGTTTGTCCAAGAAATTTTTGGATGAAATACAAACCGCACAACTTCAAAATCGCATAAAAATAATCTGCATAAAAAGAGACCTTACAGTATAAGAAAGATGAATGTGTAAGTGTAAACAACAGTTAAAATTTAATATGATATGCTTAGTTCAAGTTTCTAATAGTCTATAATGTGTTAGAAACGTGGAAGACACGTAATTAGTAGTCAAAGATATAATGTATTGTTTTATTATTGTAGGATCTTGGTTGATCTTGCAAGATTGTTTATATGACAAGGCTTTAGAATCAGGCATACTGGAAAATTCACTAGTGATGGTTTTTATTTATTAATTTGAGTTGAATTTTATTTCATTAATATAGTTTTAAAAATTATTTTTCAACAATTTAGAATTTTATCAAATGATTTCTTTTGAATTCTGAAATAAATGAAATCAAAATATATCATGTTAATTAAATGGATATATTTTGATTTCCAGCTAAGCAAGTATATGATGAATGTGCTGCTTTATATAGGCTTTCGGGGAGAGAAAATAAACAGTATTTAACGGAAGCATGGTTGGAAGAATATAGTCAATGGTTATCTGAAGTAGCACCAGACGATAAAGATAAATTGCATTTAATTGAAGAAAATTGGAGAAAAGTTAGAAGAAAACAAATTAAGAAAATTGAAGATCGAAGTGCTTTGGATATAATAAGGTAACAGCAAAAGAAGTTAGTGTAGTAAAAAGTAAAATAATATATTTTGTTTTTTAAGATATAAAATATATAATACAGTATTTTATTAATATAATTTTTATTTAGGTATAAATTTTCACAGATCATGTGTAAAGCTTCAGAATCACATTACGGATCTGAAATGAGAATAATGTCATCATCAGAAACATCTCTGTCAGAAGAGAGTCTTCCAAGTGAAGAAGAACTGCCAAATCCTTCAATTTCATTATCTGATTTAGGATCATCCAAATCTAGTTTTAAATTATTTAACAAATTTTCTTCACTTTCTGACAAAGATGTAAAACATGAATCAGATAATACATCCAGTGAAGTTTTACTAAATTCTGAGAGCTCAGCTGAACATAATAATGTTATTAATTCCTGTAAAGATTCAAATCAGAAAGATTTTAAAACTGTTATTGAAACTACTCATGTACCACAATATTCTGCAGAGTGTCATAAAAGTGTAGATAGCTCTACTAAGTCCTATAGACACCATACAGTTTCTGCCCAGGCTGTTCCTCCCACAACGCTTTCAAATGTTTCATCGGCATTAAGGTGGGATATTAATCTTAGACTATTTTTTGATAGAAATCCTGAATTACGACAGGAAGGTAAAACGTGCTCTGTTTTAGAAGTTTTAGAGCCATCAAGCAGTGAAAGTGAAGATTGGATACAGAAAAAGAAAAAAACTAAGCATTCCAAAAATAGTTGTAAAGAAGTAAAATGGGAAAGTGGTAATAGTTCATCAAGTTCAATGCATTCAAGTTCTGATTGTAAATTACATTCTACATCATATTCTCAAAAAAATTTTCAAAGTATGCCAATAAGTAATTGCAATAAAGATATTGAATTTGTGACTAATGAAAATAAGAGTGAAGTAATTGATAATTTGAAAAAATGCAAGTTTAATTCCTCTGCAAAAAACATAGCATCATTTGTTGCTTTAGAGCAGGATAATAAATTAATGCCTTCAAGTTCTCAATATGAGACTCAAACTCAACCATTTCATAACATTGTAAGCAGTCAAAAAGGAAAGAATAGTTCATCTGATGATCCAGTCCCTCCTTCAGACCCAGTACAAAATAAATCAGAAAGTGCATTTGCTATTACAAATTTGAAAATACATTCACAAGATGGATTACAGAATAACAGTTGTGAAACACAACACTTTTCAGAACCTGATCTGATTAAAGGTACACAGAAAGTAAATTTAACACATAATAAGATTAAAAGAAATGAAAAATTGGAATTGAATAACAAATTAATAAACAAAGCAGAAAACTGTGTAGATAAAGATGTTATAGAATGTTCCTCAGCATCTGTTGCTGAAGAATTAGACAATAAACGAGACATTGAACAGATATTTCATAATGAAGCTGTAGATAAATTGAATTCTGAAGTAGAAACAACTAATAGTACTTCTAATGTGAAAAAAAAAAGTTTTCTACTAAAATTTTCTCTGAAAGGAAGATGGTCTTCTAAACAGAAACCTCAACCAACAAAGAAAATTGAAGAAATAACCCCAGAAGAATTTAGAGAAACATATTCTAGATCAGCTTTCCAAAATGTAAATGAAAATAACCATGTAAGTTGTGATTCTCTTTTATCTAGTCAAAATAGCAAAATTGATGAAAATAAACAAGCAATACAAACTACATATCAGTCAAAAGTAAATATTGAAACCTCTCAAAAAGAGACTATAGATTATGTTGAATTAAAAGGATTAAGAGAATCTGATTATTGTAATATGAAGTGCACATTAGACAATTCAAATTCTCCAAAGACTTGTATATTGCCTTCTGAATATATTCCACCACCTATGGTGCCTTTACCTTTACGAAGGGAACCCCCTCCAATTCCTGTTTCAAATATAAAAGAAGTTATATCAGAAGAAATGAATGCCAATCAGCAGTTAGAAATTTCCTCAAATACTCACAAAAGAGAAGGAAGTAGAATCGACAATTTATCTTGTACTGAAGATGATGTAGTTACTGGTGTATTTCAACCTTCACAAGTTAAACTAGCCTCAATAACACCAAGGATTTATATACCTTCCCTGTCAGATGGTGGTCATAATTCAATAACACCTTGGTCATCTACAGTAAAATCTGATTCATTGTCCCGACCTTCTTCATCTGCCTCTCATTTAGATTCTCCTTCTAGATCAGATGATACTTATAAAAGTGGATTTCCTCTTCATAAGGATTCTTCTGCTTCAACAGAAATGCTTCTCACCCTAGATTCATCAACTGCAGGACGGCAATCACCTGCTCCAAGTGAAATATCTAAGACAGAAAGTGCATTATCTCCTCCTAGTGATGTTTCTAAAACAGAAAGTATACGCCAGTTAAACCAATTGGGAAAAATTGAAGAATCTGCTAATATTCGTAGAGAATCATCATGTACATTAGTGGCATTTCAAGAAAATGTTAATTCACCCACAGAAACAGCTGTAGAAAAATGTGTAGATTCTATAGATAATTTAATAGACAGTAGAAATGTAAATTTGACATTAGAAACAAATATAACAGAAAATGCTGAAACAGAAGAAGAAACTTCTAAGGTAAGAATTAATAAAGGTAAATAATTTTTCATAGTAATATATTTTATACTAGAATTTAATAATTTATTTTTTCAAATAAATTAATCTATATATATTAAAATGAATGTCTGTCTGTCAGTCCGTCTGTCCTTCATGCATTACTACACCATTTATCCGATTGTCATGAAACTTTGGTAAGTTGTTTAATATACTCCCATGAAGGTTTCTGGCATAGTATGATTGCCATGAAACTTTGGGAAGTTTTTTAATACACTCCCACGAAGGTTTCTGGTGTAGTACATTTATCCTACGATAGATGGCACACGTGTATACGAGCATTTCATTGTGAGCATTTCAGCATGGTTAGGAGTTGAAACTTGAAATTTGGTACACAGTTAAGCCGGATGCACACATGCGGCGTGGCAAAGAAAAGTGGTGTTGCAAATGCATCTTCGCTGCGTGGCAGCAATTCGCTTACATTTTGTCATATGCGTTCAGTATTCATGATGGCGAACAATACTGATATTGTCACTATCCACATGTTTACAAATTTTGTTTCATACGGCTTGCTTTATTTAGTTAGAAGATTTTGTCAAAGATTCGAACGAAGATTTTGGATTGGAGATATTTTCTTGGATTGATAAAGAACTTGTGTACAAAATACGCTTATTCCTCAATAAAGAATACTATTTTGAGTAAGATTCGGTTGTTTTGTTCTTCGAATTAAATTATATATGATTATTTGTGTAGAATTTGTGTTAAATTTATTATCCTTTTCTCTTTATTCTGATGTTAGTTATCTCGGTTAACCGCGCCGAACTTTTCACCATTAAAACACCACGTGATTATATTTTCTCACGTGACTATCAGACGAACTGTTATTGGCTGATAGAAATGCGCCTTGGCGGCGGTTGCTGCAAAAGATAAAATTCAACCAACTTTTGCGGCATGAGAAAAGCGGCACAAAATTGACTTCTGTGGCAAGAAAAAGTGACGTCATCCTGCCGCTTTTCCTTGCCACACCGCATGTGTGCATCCAGCTTTAGGGTATGTCACGAGAATGCACACTAGCAAAGAATTTTTTGAAATTCCCCCCTCCCGCACGGGGAAAGTGACATGATTAAGGCTTCAACAATGGAAGTGTTAAGTAACAATGGAAATGTTAAGAATGGAAGTGTTAAGCGAAAGCAACGTGCAAGATTTACAGGTGCAGATATGGTTTTTTGCTTTAAATCTAACATAATTTTAGACCCATATAAAAATTTTATAATTAGTCTGGAAACAAGGTTACCTAATTCTTGCATTCTGTGAAAACGGGTAAGATTGGCTGTAATATAATAATCTTAATCTTTGCTATAGTTACTTTTTGCCCAAGCAACGCCGGGCTTATCTGCTAGTATTTTATAAAACTAGACATGTTAATAAATTTAACATACACATACTGAATTTATTAAAGTATTGTTTTCTGAAATTTATAATTACATAACAGATCTAGAATTTAATCAATGATGTAAAATATTACATATCTAAAAACACACCAATACATCAAACCACTTAAACAAACACCAAAAATGTAATATTAAACATTCATCTAACAAACTGCTGTCAACTTCATGGAATCAGACAATCTGCCAATGGCATGGAGAGCATGGTTCAAACTATAGTAAAATCACTTCATGTATGCTCTCAAGTGTACTAATCAATATGATCTTATTAATTATGTAATGTTTTTTCACTTATTTTTATGATATAAATTCTCTGCATAGAGCACATGCCTGATCTTCAGTCATTTAAAAATTCAATTTCAGTTCTGTATTTGATTTGGTATTCTGTTCTTTAATAGGCTTATATAACCCAAGGATGGCCAACAGATACAGATGAAAATGTTCTTTATCTTATAATACAATTGTATTATAAGATAAAGAACAATTCAATTGATGAAGATTATAAGATAAAAAAGATGAATTGATAATAATAATAAGCATTCAGCCCAAATGGTTAGGAGTTGAAAGTTGAAATTTGGTACACAGTTGTGATACATCATGAGAATGCATACTAAGAAGGGATTTTTTGAAATTTCCCTCTGTGGGGAGAAGGAGAGGATTAAGGCTTACACTGAAGAACTCTGCTTCTACTGTATTTTTTTAGATGTAGTTTTTTGTGAGAAATCGAACATATTTTTAGACTCATCTAAAAATTCTCTAATTAGCCTCAAGATAGGGGGAACCCGGTGAAAATGGGTAAGATTGGCTATTATCTAATAATCATAATCTTTGCTATCTTACTTTTTGCCCAAGCAACACCGGGCTCATCTGCTAGTTTTTTATAAAAACAAAAAGGAATCTTTAATTTGATAATGAAAGAACATCAGATATATACTGTATAGGATATCAAAATAGAAACAAAACTATAAGTTATTAAAATATTAAAATCAAATTGAGTCATCAAAATAAATATATAACAAATATTACCAAATGATCTGCTGTATTATTTATTGAGCTATATTAAGGCTAATCAATAATAAGATACAAAGCAATTTGGTTAGAGATAAATGATTAAGGCACCATCTCATGATAACTTTAATAATTATAAATACATTTATCATCAGATGGAGCCTTAACCATTTACCTGTAGCCAAATTGCTTTGTTTCAAATTATTAAATAGCTCTAATATAGCCCTAAAAATAATCCAGTAGATCATTTGATAATACTAGTGTATTGGGTAGTGATGTCTGTGTTGTTATATATATAATAAATAGTTAAATAATTTCATTATTTTAAAATTATTTTTTCAGAAATAAAATGAGAGTTGTAAATCAAACAGCATTCAAATAAAATATTTAAAGTAATTTTGAAATCAACATAAAAAATTTTCATATTTCAGAATTAAATGTTAAATTCTAAATATACAATATAGATTTAAGTAGAGGTTGTATGTCAGTAGATACCATGTAAAATGAAATTCCAATTAAATTTGTGTTCCATACCAAATAGCTTGATGCTTGCTTAGACATGTATTCAACCATTAAAATTAACAGAAAAATATTAAAATATGTTTGAAACATTTTACTTATACTTTTACTATAACAAATACATTAGTCTGATGTTTCTGAATATACAGAGCAAAATTGTAGTATACTGTATCAAGTATACTATTTGAGAAAGATATATTCAAACCAATATATTTACCACAGTGGATAGCATTCATTATTACTCTGTATTTTGAATTGCAGAAGCTTAAAAAAATTTGCTGACTTAACAAATGGTTGGGTTAACTCACTCCTATCTATGAAAACTCTAGTCTGCATGGTGTAAGGAACCAAGTCTGAGCTTTATTTTTATTTTACTTTTATTTTGCTTTCATTATATTTTGTTTGGGGCTTATGTTTAGTTAAGACGAAGGTTTCCTCACCATTCACCTTAGTAACTTAAAAATAGAAGAAAAACCAACTCACCGACGAAAGAAAAGCACCATAGAAAAACTCGCGCACACTTGCGCTTCCCAAGCGGAAAAAGTAAGTCCGCACCGACGAAAAGGGGGGGAGACCCCACAACCCAGTTAGGAATCGCTAAACCTTAAAAGAATAAAGCATCCCGATAATTGTTGAAAAAGAATAATGTAAAAGGTTAGCGAAGTATTGTCGGAAAATAATCTGCCAGATAAACAAGAAAAATTTAATGTTAAGATAAGTATGTAAATG